ATCAAGGAGGCACACATAAATGAGATGTGGAGATAATAAAAGTGAAGACCTCATCGCACAATTCAAAGGTGGAGATTGTCTGGTTAGGAGGGATACCTATGGTGGAAGTTGCAGTGTTTGACTCTTTGCTCGATACTGCTAAACCATGGGTAATTTCAACAGAAGAGTTCCTGCCAGATCAGTCACATGTGGTGTCATTAAATATTTCCCCTGAGCCTGTTGCCTTTGGCTGCATTATTCCTAGCCTTGAAGCATCCAAGCAAGACCCTCTTGTCCTCCTGGAGAGTCTTTGAACTATATGATACCCTTGAGTAGACCCCCTTCTACTTAACTAGCTAGTGTTGATCTTCCTGCTCCTGAAACCCTCTGATTAATTAAAGTTCTTTATCTCTTTTCCTAAGAACATAAACACTGAAGTTTCTAAAACAATTATTCACTATTTTATCCATGCTAGACTTTTGTAATAGTGAAGTAAATTCTGGTTACAATCTACCAGTCAAACACTGATTCTTTTTGAGGCCAATGTTGCCTTGATTCAGAGAAAAGCTGCATTCCAAATAGGTATCTTCCTGTTGTTATTTCTATACAAGAATAGCAATGCTTTCTTCTTCCAGGTATATAATATACAAGCAGCTGGTGCAAAGCTCTCCCTGGTGGGGTTTGTATGCAAGAAGTTCTTTAGGTGAGGTGCTCAACTGTGACACCCAGTATCCCTGAAATGATGCATTGAGGCAAGAGGGCAGAGCTTACGCACTACAGATAGTTCTCCTTTAACGTCCTGCTTCAGGACTATTTGGTCTTATGACACAGGAACTTGAGCATACTGTACAGTGCAGTACTGTAGTTTTATTTCTGTTATACATTACAGTGCCATATATAAGTTATGCAAATGAAACCAAAGTCATCAAGTTGGAATTTCTTTTGACCATGTCTTTGTTCTAAATATGGTAATGTACAAACTGTAAGCAATTCTCCATTTAGCGACCAATTCACCTAATAGCCTAGCTGCAGGAACAGAACTCAGTAGTTAAACAAGGAATATCTGTATGATAAAGCACCAAAAGGCACTCTTTAACACTTTTCAGAGGTAATGTTACACTGAACTGGATGAATTTGAAGGCAGTTTTCTACCCAAGTGGGATATTTAGAAAGTTCTCAATATTTAGATGGCAGCTCTAGGTACGGAGCTTCTCTCTATTTCCTAATCAAATATTTTAATCTTTTAGCTTTATTAGTAGTGCCACCAAGAAACTTTTCAGTATTTCCTCACTTTAATGGGGAATACTCACAACTTACCAATGGCTTTATATTCCATTTGTAAAAGTATATGTTTCACACTAGAAATCAAGCAGTTTTAATTTCAATCCAGTTCCAATTCCCAAAATAAAAGAGATATAAAGTAAAACCAGTAAGACTTAAGAGTTTTCTAAAATGAAAGCAAATAAACAAGGAATACAAACAAAAATGAGCATAATCATGTGTTTAAAAGGATGCATAATGATATTGGGGTAAGGTGGGACTTTTTAGTTGTGAATCTACAGCTAGATTATATGAAATAGTTAAATTATATAATAATAATAATAATAATAATAATCATGGGTTCTTCACAACCATACTATCCTATGATGTTTACTTTGGAAAGTCTGAAAATAGTGAAAAATGACTTTCTAATACAATAGATCCCATGAAATAAGACAAAAAAGAAGAAAACATCCCACCAAACAGAATGAAAGCTTTCTGTGTCCTCCTTTGTTATAAGAATACTACATCCAATAATAGACAAGCTTCCTAGAAGCTGGCCATGTAATGATTGTAGGCAAATAAAAAAAAAAGGAAAAAACAACCCCGGACAAGAGTTTAGAATTCCAGAGGTGGCATGGTGCAGTTAAGAAACCGTAGGATTGACGATGTCAGCCTAACTATGGATTCTAATCATGGATCCGGGAGTCACAAGATTCAAAGTGCCTGGTAAGTTGTTAAACCTCTCTGAGCTTATGCTTTCTCATCCTAAGGAGGATAAATACAATTTACTGCAAATGGTTGCATAGAGATGCATTTATCTCTATAAATTTGTTTACTGCATAGAGATATAAATTAAATGTATTTATTGTGTAGAGATACAAATTAAATGATAAAGGGTTCATAACATGGTGCCCATGTGAAATCAGTGCCTTCTTTCTGTACTGAATGAAAACAAGTAAAAGCATTGAGACCTCACTCTTTTCTCAATAAAGAAAGAAAGAAAATTATCCGTCATTATATCACTTCGAGAAAAGTTCAGTAAATAGCTATTACAATTTCTACTAGGTTTGGGTGGATTTCATGAGCAAAAACTTTTCGTTTAGCATTTATTTATTACGTGAACATTTTTCAGCACCTCCTATGTGTTACTACTTGTTCTAGGCTCAAAAGACACAATGAAGAATAGAACAGAACAGAATGAATTTCCCTCTGATCTGAAATTTAAAATCTGCTCTGTCTCCCAGAATTGTCTTACAAATAATATAGAAAATGTCTTCTTCCATTTGCCATATGAGTACTGGGTCTTTGATTGTTTTGATCAGTCTTACATTCCTATGTCTGGTGGACTAAGCAACTTCGTTCAAGGTAAAGGTATGTAATGTAGCAACCATTGTTAATTCCTATCATTTTGTTTTGCAGTCATGTATCGTTTCTGTTGTTTTTGTGTTTTGACTTCGTCTTCATTGTTGTTTTGTTAGTGTTTTTAATTTTTAAAAGAAAAAAAAGAAAGCTCATTTTCTCCTGCTTCGGAAGAAAAGAATACGCATAGCAGTCAGATCTTATCAACATGTGCTTCCAGTGAGACATCAGCAGGATACAAAGAAGAGCAGGAATGTAAAGTTAGCTAAATCTTGGCTCTTACTTCCTACAGACATAGCCACAGGCAAAGAAATTAACCAGTTGTCTTCAATTTCTTTATGATGAGATTAACCTGTAAGTATATGTGGGAGCTTATGAGATAATATCTGTCATAAACATTAGAGGAGTGTGCAGGAGTAGAAACACAGTCATGATAACCATAGTTTTATGTTAGCATCATTTTCCTTTCCAATAATTAGAAGAAAATGAGCCATTTCAAGGTTACAGATTCACAAAAAGAAACCTGTAAAGTAAGTAAATACATCTCATGCAGCTAGAATGAAAGCTTTCTGTGTCCTCCTTTGTTATAAGAATACTACATCCAATAATAGACAAGCTTCTTAGAAGCATGTAATTGCAGTAAACTGTAATTAAAATGTAATCTTCCTTTTATGCATAATATGCCTTTGTTAAAACTAACCAATCTTTCCTTGCTCAAGAAAGGAGGGGTTTATTAATGTCATTTTGGCACTAAAGAGGCTGTACAAAGAATAGTCTTATTGTACAAATTGAGCTGGGCAATGTATCAGATTTTCTTAATGGAAGCACACATATTGCTTGATATATTTTTTGTAGTTTAAATAAAATGTAACAGGTGGAATATTTTAATTATACTTACTTCTGTACAGGTAATTCTGGATGGATATTAATGTATTTACCAAATATTTTGTGGTCCTTTATTAGTCATGTCTTATTTATTCCAAACTTTTAAACATTTTCTGTAGTCACTGAACTCTACCTTCCCCTCACCCAATGACTTTACCACTTTTTCTTCCTTTTATTAATCTGCAATCTCTTTCCCACTGTCCTAAGGACACTCTGTATGTGTGTGTGTGTGTGTGTGTGTGTGTATGTGTGTGTGTGTGTGTGTAAATCTCTTAATGGATTTCCTACTAGAATATTAGCAGCTCTTAATTTTTGCTGGCGTATTGGAACTTCCTAGGGAGTATTTCAGTTTGTAAAACTAATGATGATTTTGCTAGTCTGGTTATACCTGAGCAGTGGAAATTTTGTAAGTTTCCCAGAAAAAAATTAGAGGTTGAGCATCACTGTACTAGAACAAGACCTTAATTTGTTTTCTGTTCTACATGTATGCTGAATATTTTGGCTCAGTAGCTGGTTTGAAAATAAATTAACTTGAGGATGATTTCTGAGTTCTTCCATTTAAGGAAATGTTTCACTGAATGGCTATTATTACTGATTGTAACAAGATCCCTGTGGTCCCTTTCAAAGTGGCACTTAGAAAGTTGTTCCTAATGCCCACCACACCAACCCCAGCCATCCTCTATGTCTTGAAAATACACCCTGAAACAATAAAACAGTGATTATCAAAATATAAAAGTGAAAGAACCTATTTCCAAACACTGTCACATCCAAGGAACTAAAGGACAGGTCTTCAACATTTGAATTTACAGAAGCCATGATTCAACTCATAATACTTACAAAATAAAAGAATTTAATGCCTCCTTGACTTCTCTCAAGTGGAATTATATCTATGTGAAACTATGGTTTACCTTCTGCAGTACGAAAACAAAGTCTGACTTTCTGGAAAAGAGTACTCTACATAATTTTTAAATTCTGTGATGGATATATTTGTTGAGTTAAGTCATCTCAGAAAAATTTCTAAGTCTCTGAAAAAAGGTTGAGAAATACAGACTCTACCAAGTAATGTGGTGAAGGAAGGGAAATGTAAAATACTTGTTCTGAGTTCATGAAAATAATAGTTCAGATAATCTGGAAGAAAAAGTTGGGTTTAACATTTTCTGCCTCAAGCAGAAAATCCATGAGATTGTTTGTCTGGTCGGCATCTATTTTCTCTTCAGAGTTCAGAATACCTGTTCACCTTACAACAACTATCTTAATTGCTATATCTTCCTAAGTTATATGTGTATTAAAATATCACACTCATACTCCGCATGATACAGAGGACTTCAATTTGAGCTCTTTGAACTCATAGACTGCCCATTACAAAGTACATTTGTGATGTTAAATATATTAGCACTTTTCGATCACCTTTTGAAGGTAAATCTCTGAACATTTCCTTCTAAAAAATGTGAGTTTCCTCATACTGCATGAGCCCATCATCCCATTTACATTGTGGAATAGTGGCAGGGACCCACCTTGAGGCTTGGACTTGGTCAGTTTGCCACAGGGCTTGGAGATGGTGACTGTCTTCTGGCAATCAGCATTGTGGAGGGCTCGCTTCAGACTCCCAGTTCTGGTCTTCAGGGCCGTATTCAGGTCACATTCTCCCCAGGCTTGGAACTGGTATTTGCACTCAGCTAAAGGCATGAGAAGATCAAAGAGAAATCCTTGAACTAGCCTATTGTGGTGGCACTATAATAAAAGCACGCTTTGGTTGTTAACACTTTGCGTTTGCATATAGAGTTTCATGAAGTCATAAAAAATAACAGAGGTATTCCACACACTCCTCATGCTCTACTCCCAGCCAGGTGTGGTGTCTTGCATAGCTATTGACTCATAGCACCACCATGAAACTGATACAAACACATTCCAAGAGCTTGTTGAGACCGCATCACTTTCATATGCACTCACTTGTGCATTAGAATGTACCTTGTTTCTGCACAGTTTATCGTGTGTAGAAACACATGGGCATCATCCTCTATGTACACAACCATCACAACACAAGGGGCACAGGATTCACCTTTTAAACCACACTCTTCCCTCTTCCTTCCTCCATGACAACCAAAACGCTGCTCTCCATCACTATAATTCCATCATCTTAAAATATTATATGAATGGAATTAGTTTGTGAACTTTTGACATTAGCATTTTTAACTTAGCATAATTTCCTGTAGATCCACGCACACCAAGTATATCAATAGTCTTTCTTCTATATTTGTGAGGACTGTTCCAAAACATGGATATACCACAGTTCTTTTTTAACTACATCTGGGTTATTTCTAGCTTTGAAACTACTATCTACACTCAAGCATGGGTTTTTAAGGAAAGGTAAGTTTTCATTCTCTGGGATAAATGCCTAAGAAAGTACTGGGTTGCATGGTAAACTCATGTTTAGTTCTGTAAAACACTGGCATACACTTTTCCAGTATGGCTGTACCATTTTACATTTCCAGCAATATATGAGGGATGTAGTTCTGTGTTCTCCTTTGCATTTTATCACATCCTTATCTAGCCACTATGCCACGTCTGTAGCAGTCTTATTAGAGGTTGAATTTCTAGTTCCTTAATGGGGAAAAGAAGTTGAACATCCTTGTATATATTTATTTGCTTTCTATAGATCAGTGATGGCAAACCTTTTAGAGCTTCTGATGGTAAGAAACAGCTCGCTGTGGCACGTGTGCCATAGGTTCGCCACCACTGCTACAGACACGCTTTAGTAAAATGTGGTTTGCCTCCTTTATTACTGGATTGTTTTTTTACTGTTGAGTTTTGAAAATTATTTATATATTTCAGACTTAAATCTTTTAAGACACATCATAAAATCCTTGTATAGGTGAGTTCTGAAGGTGCCCATATACAATTTAGGAACAAATGAACAAATGTTTTTAAACTTTACTGCAGCTTAATAACACTTACTGCTGCTCAAAAACATACCCCAAAGATTACAGAGCATGGAAAAGATTCATATGAGCATATCCACGGTCCTGATTCACTTGCTGGCAGGCCATAATGCACTTCCTTATAACAGAGGGACAACATTGGGGCATAATGTCCCACTATGGTCAAGAAAGGCAAAAAGACTGCATTATAAGAAAAAAAGTTTATCTAGGAGTTTAAAACTTATTTAAAGTAGAAAGTTTTCAAAGAACTTGTCTCCAGTAGGAAGATCAGGCCAGCCTTAGGCTGACAGTAGTCAGTGCGAGAGAAATCTCTCAAAAATGGCCATAAACAGGCCTGCTGGGCTCAATAAGGAAATCTGTGAATGTGTGCGGATGGTGGGGAGGGAACAAAAAAGTGAAAGTGACTCAGATAATGACAAGAATGAGAAAAGTAGAAAGGAAAAGACAGGGAATTTTGAAATAGAAAAAAGAAAAGGGAGAGAATACAGACAAATGAATATTACTGGAAGGGATTCCATGCACAGTTTATGTCTCTACAAGGCAGTGGTTCTCAGTCCTGGATGATTTTTACACCCAGGGGACATTTGGCCATACATAGCACAAATATTTTTAGTTTTCACAAGTAGTGTGGGTGGGAGTGTGAGTGGAAACTAATGCATAGAAGCCAGGGATGGTGCCAGATATCCTACAGCACAGAAGACAGACCCTAATGTGGCCCAAAATGTCACCAGTGCTGAAGCTGGGAACTCCTGAGTTGAGGCAAAGTGGCCATTCACCTTCTGTCTGACAAAATGAAATTATTTAAAGTAAGTAGAATTGATTCCAAAAAGACATTTGGTGAAAACCTTACAGGATTATCTCAGAGCAGGAGGTTGGGTCAATAGGACAGGGTGAGACTTACCTCCAAATTGCTTCTTCCAGTTGCAGGGGATCTTACATCTCTGGGTCTTCATGGTTTGCTTGCACTCCGCACCAGAGCGAGTGCCCTCCCGGGTGCCCAGCCCACAGTCGCCACTGGTGGGCACACACACGCTCCACTGCCATTCTCCACAGTCTGACTTCTTCACTTTTTTTTCTAGAAGGAAGAAGCCAAAACTAACCAACATCTAGACAACGTTAACCCCTAGTTATAACCATGTTCCACATAGCACCATGCTGGTAGGGTGTGTGCTTCTTACCCATCTCTTTGCTGCCTAGAGAGCAGACAGAGACCAGCCCAATAACTGAATCAATAACACATCAAGAGAATGGAGAAGGAATACTAAGGAAGAAACTAGAACCAATAGTAATTTAACTCTTATGTAGGCCAAAATCGTTCTAAGTGACTTACTGACATGTCCTTGTAGGAGCCACCATTTCTATTAAAAAAAAAAAACATTCAAAAGTAATTCCATGTAAAAACTGAGAACACATTCTATTAGAAGCAACAGTGAGATTAGCTCTCTCCCTGTAAAAATTTTCTTTGTCTTGAAAAATGGAAGAATATAATAGACATATGGCTCATTATAGACTCAGACAGAATCCCAGGTTCACAGACTATGTGTGGCTGTGGAAAAGGCATAGAATGCCTTTCTATCCATTACTTCCTTTGTAAATCTAAGATTTTTTAAAAAGTCCTTGGATGGTGTGATTTGAAGAAGAGGGATAACATAAGCAAATGGTGGCTAATCTAATAACTATTATTTCTAACAGTGTTTCTCATTAATTTTTTTTGCACCAGGAATTGAACCCAGGACCTTGCCCTTGCCAGGCAGGTGCTGTGCTGCTGAGCTATACCCTTGGCCCTTTTTCACTATTTTTAGGCTTAACTATTTTAAACTGTTTTTTCTTTAATAGAATCTCCTGATTGTCAGTCAGTGGTTTCTGTCTAGTGAACTCTAACACAATCACTTTCCAGAATTTACAGTGGACAAAAAAATAAGAGGACTGTGTCTTGGGTTTCTCAACATAATGAGAAGGAAGGAAGGAATGAAGGAAAGAAGGAATGAAGGAACAAAGGAAGGAAGGAAGAGGGTGGAGGGAAAAAGGGAGGAATGGAGGCATTGAGGGAAGGAAGGAAAGGAAAGGGAAGGGAAGGGAAGGAAAGGAAAGGAAGGGAACAAAAGGGAAGGGAAGGGAAGGGAAGGGAAGGGAAGGGAAGGGAAGGGAAGGGAAGGGAAGGGAAGGGAAAGATAAAAGTGGGTAGCTGGGCTGGATAGACACTAATCACCAAAGCAACCCTTTAAACTCTGCTGCTTACCTGCTTTCTCTTTCTTCCCCGCCTGGACAGTGTCCACAGTTGCCAAAATGAAAATGAATGCCAAGAAGGCAGCGGCAAATTTTCGACGCTGCTGCTGGTACTGTTGGGACTGCATTCTAGGGATAAACAGAGAAAAGGAAGAAGGTCATGTCAACCTAATCAGGGAAGGAGACTCACTGAACTCCTTGATGAAAGGCTCCACCTTGCACTTCCAGAACGCTGAGTTTCAGGACGAGGTAGATCAGTTGTCCTTAGCAAAATGTCATCATCTCGCCTCAATAGCCACTAGCCTGAGTGTTTTTCTGCAGTCAGTCATGTATTTGCTGACAAAATGGAACCGTTCTCTTCAGGTAAGACCTCACAGCCATTTCATAAGTATGATGCTGGGATTAGGGAAGCAGAAGAAATCTCAAGGTATGGTTTTTAGCAGGCTACACAGCCAGCCTTGATGGTAGTATCATCGGATAATACCAACAACTACAGCTATCTTCAGAATTCATAATCATTCCTAGAAACCACTGTGGTACTGCTGGCCACAGGCTTCATTTGAGTGGACATGATGTATGGGGTGTCCACAGAAGAACGTGTTTATTTCTTGTTTTCAGATGCATTAGTAATGACCAACTCTGTAGTTTCTCATTTTACATGATCATTTCTAGCACCTTAGTCAACCCCAGAGTGAAGCACAGAACAGAGGCAGACACACCTGTGATACACAGCAACCGTGATTATAAACTCACATGTGCTCAAGAGCCTTTAAACTCTCAAATATATTGAGGAGTCCTTATATTCCCTCAGAATCTAAAATTCTCATATTTAATAGAATCCAAATCTCCAGATAATGTTAGAAAGTCACCCCTGGAACTTGAAGGCATGTGTGATAACATACTGTCAGTATGGCTATCCTACCAAAGGTCTTTGGGGAAGTTTTGGTCCATGCCCTGGGACACACAATCCCTAGTAGAATTCCAAGTCACTGACTGTACCTCAGAAACACCCAGAGCCCACTCAAGAGAATACGCTTACTTGTCAGAAGTACAGAGAACACTACCTCCCATCAATAATATGTGTGCATGCACTCGCACACGCATGCACACACACACACACACACACACACAACTTGTTATTAGAAAGGGGCTCTCTCTGGCAAGTTCTCATCTCAGTACTTTTAGTTTTATATTGTTAAGCTCTTACTTTCAGCATTACTTTTGGAAAAAGATTTACCTTACTGTCAAGTTACACTCATTTCAAGAAAAAAAATAAGCCTAGAATTTCCTAATCATATGTTTTTGAGTTGAAGAGGAAGCCCCTGAGCAAGCTATCAAAACTGAACTATGATCTGAGAGGAAAAAAGGGAAGGTCAGAATGGGGTTGGGGTTGAAGAGACAACAGAATGGAAATGCGCTCTATTTTTTGATATTAACTCAAAGCCACTCAAACATTTAACAGGTAGGTGAGTAGTGATTTCAGCTCTTAAACATTCTAAGGAAAAATGCACACAGGCCCATATTCACAGTGAGCCACATATTGGGCAAGGGCTTTGGGTTGGACAGTCTTTCAAATCCATCCCTTCTTCTCACCCCTTGCATCCCTGTCATTGTGCTTAAGACTACATCTTAAAGACTTAGATTTTACGAGTAGAGAACAGGAATATAAAGCTTGCTTCAAAGAGGAGAGTAAGGGAATTCAAAAATGGGATAATGAAAATAACCCAAAACTTCAAGCGAGCCCAAATAATACCCACTTAGCTTGCTATTGCTTCATTGCTGTAATAAATACATGATACCTCGATACAAGTTCCCCTTGCTTGAGATATTTGCATCGCTGATTATTTGTCCTTACTTTCAAGTGAAAGCAAAAGCTCTCTACACAGTTTAATCCCATTTGTTTTCCAACAGAGTGGGTGCCAGGGAGTGTGAAGGCAAAAATATTTAATTAAAAAAGTGATTAAGATTATCATGTATTTTCTCACACTGAGGACAAACAGTGAAGAAATGAGGAGTAAGGGATAGATAGATGATGGATAGATGGATGGATAGATAGATAGACAGATAAGATAGACAGACAGATAGAAGACAGGTAGTTGGTAGATAGATATATAGATAGATGGATAATAGATACATACATACATACATTGTACATACATGTGTACATAATACGTACAAATATACATAATCACAGCAAAGCTTGAGTGCTTAGGTCTGTCTTAGTTGCTGCTAATTAAAATTTTAATATCAACACAAGGCCTTAAACAGAAGAATAAATATAGTCATGTTAAAACAGTGCCTCAGCTCTTTGCCAGTATCATGAAGTATGCAGTCATTGGCAAAAATGAGTCAGAAATAAGTGTCCACATGAGCAAGACAATCAGTAAATGATCAGTGATTCTTGTGTATTGTGTGTTCCCGTCACTCCGCCATTCTATATATGCTGTGATCTTCTTTTTTTTTTTTTTTTTTTGGTTTTTCTCCGGTACCGGGAACCGAACTCATGACCTTGCGCTTGCCAGGCAGGCGCTTTGCCGCTGAGCTAAATCCCCAGCCCCTGCTGTGATCTTCTTGACTAAACTCTCTGAAATAGTATTTTTGGGGACATTTTTATCATAAAATAAATCTCAAGATAAGGAAAATCTGTCATGAAAAATCTCTGAAGAGTTTAGTGAATCATTATAAGACAAAGTACTTTTCCCATCACATCCAAAGGCTTTACAGACTGGTCCTTTCAAAAGTAACTTCCATGGATATCATTCCTTTGCATTATCTGAAGGCTTTATTCAATGTGTATCCCTATTATTGCCTAATATAAAATTTTATGTAGCTTTTAATTTGCTTTTAATTTCTAGGATTATGCTGTTTTGCTTTTTAATTCTTGGTAGGGTTTTCTTTGTTTGTTATTTTGATTGCTTTTGTTTTGTTTTACAAACCCTAGGAAATTCCATCAGAAGATCCCACATTCTGGATTTTGATGATTGTAAATTCATCATGCAATTCAACATGCTTCTCTTCAATTGCAGGCTGGCAGCTACATGCAGAGGCTTATTGGCCTCAGGTGCATCTAGGACAAGAATGTGAGTAGCATCGTGTTCACATGCCGGGAGCTGCATAATATTTGGTTCTCGCTCTTTTGTGATGTTACAGCCACTGGTATGAGATGAGCATGGATGTGGGTTGCAAGGTGGTGGTGCTCAAATTCTATCCATTTATTTTCATTTATTACTTAACACTGTGAGGAGATGTCTTCCCCCTCACCAAATACTTTGTTGTGCAGCTTACAGTTCATAAAGAACTGTTGGATAAATGCTTGTTTCTTTCCTTTTACTTCACTAAATTTCAAGATTATTAGTTTTTTCCCTCTTATTATTGAAATATGGCCATTTACTTTTTTAGTGTTATATATTCATGGGTTTGTTCATATTTGATGGTTTCCAAGACATCCTATTTCTTAATCTTTTTTAATTCTTATGAAACCAGTATAAGCTTCATAAGGTGGCTGTCTCATAAATTCTTGTAATTATGATCTTTGTAATCTTTGATGAGGTCCTTGGTATCTAGTAGATTAAGATGTCCTGGGCCTATAACACCTCAGATCTGAAATCAGACATCTATTAAAAAAAAACTATGTTTGCTGTTTTAGTAATAAGAGGTATTTCAAACCCAAATCCAGACACTGAAGATGCTCAGCCCTACTGAACTGATCTTCATTTCTAGTCCATTTTCTATGAGCACGGCTGAGAAAGGACATAGGGAATGACAGAATTAACTAGCATAAAATTAACAATTTGCTTTTTCACGTATTGCATAAGCAGTAATTTCATAATAAGCTATGAATCTTAAAGACAGTTAAAATTATTTTGTACTTCGTATCTCTTTTTGCTCTCCATGTGGAGCTGCTTGGTCTCTATGTCACCAGAATAGTTATCACGTACTGTATAATCTCCCTTTGAATGCTCATTAACCTTAGTTATGAAGGCAACAATATATTTATGCCTACCATTAGTTCTTATATAAATGCCTCTCTAGAAAATCTGTAGATCAAAAGTTCATTCTCTAGTAAAGCCCTTGGAAAATTAAAATATATATATATATGTATGTACATATGTACAATATACATGTATGTGTATATATATATATATATATATATATATATATAAAATTACTGCTGAATGTTGACAATATATCAGCCATTCTGCCCATCTAATTTTACTAGATGTAACATCATGGGCCCAGGATTTCTTCTTTAAAATGTCTAAAATATGCTGCTAAATTAAGTCTCATTATCAAATGATGTTGCTGGAATGACTCACAATAATCTAATTTCATAGACAGATAGGCAGATAGATGATAGATAGATGAGTAGTTTTTGCTGAGATGTCTTCCTTTAATTAATTTCTTTGAAGTGCAATAATTTTACAAATATATGGCTCGATCCTGTTCATTTGGCATCAACATTCTCAGATAATGATGGCTCTTTTTTCCCAATTTTTAGTAATTGTCATTTTAACTCAAATCCTTCTTAAATACTATAATTTCAGGGAAAACTACTCATTTTATCTTGTATTAATCTTAAAGCTATTACTTGTGTTTATGCAATCCCATGTTCTTTCTAGTTTCAGCTTCATTTTGAAAGTATTTTTCCTTTTATTTCTAATTCTTACTTGAGTTTTCTCACCTCATTCCTGAGTTGTTCTAATATAATTTATGATGTCCCTTAATATTTCATTTTGAAATGTTTTCAAGCTTATTTTGCAATAGTGTGTCACTGGAATTTTTTTTTGTTAATTGAACACGTTAAAAAATTATTTTATTGTTTATAGGGATATTGGTTCACTACTTATTTTCTTTATTTGCTTTTTTTTTAATGATTACTTTGTAGGAAAATGGATGAACTTTGAGACCATAATTTTATGTGAAATAAATCAGGGACACAAGTGTAAATACAGCATTGTTTCTGTCGTGTGATGAATGCAAAGGGTAAATGAGGAGCATAATGGAGGACAGACACTAGAAAGTAGGAAGAACATGTTTAAGTGGAAAAAGGAGGGGAAAGGAAGGAACGGAAAAGAAAAAAATAAGAAAATGGAAGGGGAAAAATGGAAACAAAGCTTGTGTAAATAAAT